GAATGCCAGCCACTACGAAAAGAAGCGAAGAAGCTCAGAAACGTGGCGTGCATACGCACCACCGAGAAAAAAGGAAACGCCACTTCCACCGTTCTAGCTTAGAAGGAAGGAAGCTGATTTGGGAAGGATTCAGATAAATAGCCCGTCTATGGGTTATGAATGCCAGCCACTACGAGAAGAAGCGAAGAAACAATCAGAAGGGTGCGAGGGCGTCCCAGCTTCTTTTGGAGCAAGTAACGTCACTTAAATTTGTGACTGCAGGAGAATGGAACGAGCTCAGGGACTAGGGAAGGGAAAATCTGGGCTGTCGAGAGGACGCCCTGACCTCCAGGAAGCGGCGCACTATTGGGGGCTAAGGCAATGACAGCCGCACGAGCCTCGAGTAAGTATGTGTGTCAGCGCTTATAGGTTGCTACAGCTGCTTGGCGCACTCTGCGAAGTGGGTATAATTAGAGCCTCGGAGCCTGTTTCTTCATTGGCGAAGTGTCTGCCACTATGCCAACAACCAACACACACAAACAGACCCGTTGAAACTATGGGCGTAGCATGCAAATTCAATCAACAGATTGGTCAGGCGACCCCACGTAGGGAAATTCCACTTTGAACCAGTTCACCAAAGATAAAAGTAGGCTTGCCGTGGATGGAAAAGTGGAAAACGCGAGTGCCTCCTACAGAAGAAACGACTGAGCTCTGTCGTTCCGTACACTAATTGCAGGTGGAATCAGCGTCCGAAGAAATGAGACTTCAACACAGTGCAGAGGAGCATCCGGCAAAAAGCGTTCACTCCGTCGTCATGATCTTACACAGACAGCAACAATGAATGGATCAGATGAAATTGACACCCGACAGTATTAAATAAAGAACTTCCATCTGGCTAACCACCCGCAGGGCTCCAGCCTGCAGCACCTGCGGAGTGCGCTGCTACGGCTGTGTGTATTAGTAGGCACAAATAGTTTTTCAAGGTGTTCTTTTCATGCTGATGGTTCACTTCTCAGGGCTTTTTGTCGCTGCAACAACTTGAATCGTATAAGCCGAAGATAGAGCTCATCCGGATGTGGCCTTGCGTACCCTTGCATGGAAGTTCAGAAGCTCCTCGATATTTCATCGTCCTTCTGCTATTTCCATCCCCGGATCCGCTCACATCGTCGCGCTTCTAACGAGTCTACTCAACAAGGGCAAACAAATTACAGAAGGCGAAGAAGCCGCAAGACACCGCTTGGGAAGAGGAGAAGTGTCGGATACGTCAAGAGCAGCTTTTCGCAGTTTGCTGGAGCGCAAAGATGAGTCCATATTACTACTGCTGCAAAAGCGGTAGCTTATTGCCATTCATCAATGCCCCACATGCCGAACAAGGAGTTTTCAAGTTAACAACAAAGAGGTACTCGTTCTAGCAGATGTGACGAACCTCACAAAGAGTTTTCAATAACTCGATAGTGAGTTGTTCAGGAGTTTCAGATGCTCATGCAGTAGGAGGTCACAACCATGAACAAATGCGTATCAGAAAAACTGTTGCTGGCGCTCTTTCTCGAAGCCTTACGGGTCAGGCTCTTTGTTTGGCAACTGCGTTTGTGTATGACGATTCCTGCTTCCTTTCCAGATTGCGCCTTTCGTACATTTCCATCCAGCCCCTGCGGCTCCAGCCCCTGAGACTCCCGCTACTATCACCAGCCGACGGCGCTGGGAAGAGCTACAGCATCGGCAGAGATCTCCTGTGGAACCACAAAGACTATCGACTACGCTGAGTAAACGTCCCAGCCTCGCATCGTGCAGCCCTTTCGCGCAACGGGTACGTTCAATTTCAATTGCACGGGAAGCTATGCGCCTCTCGGGAAGACAACAGGGTTCCTCGTATGACAGATTCACCTGGTGCTCTCGGTTTTCTCTTCGTAACTTTGCATCGTCTTCTAGGTGATGCTGCGCTCACTGTAGTGCACCAGCACTACACTGGTGCTCAAAGGAGATGCAGAGGTCTGTCCAGGAGACAGCGTACAAATAATATGTTATAAGAAATAAATCAAGTCACTTTAGATGGAAATAAGGCCATCAGACTAAGAGTGCCCAGCAGCTACCAAGGGTCTGGGGCAGGCTGTGCGACTGCCACTGTAGTGAACAGCTGGCCTACGCTGTCACTACGACAGATCCCTAGGTAAGACAGAATAGGTGCACACACTATTTCCAGACACCAAAATCTATGTTTATCGCTGCAACCACTAAATAACACAATTACCAACCATATATACGGTCGGGTTCCTATTATAGTTCGGAAAGAGACCCTATAATAATAGAACTGATGCCCGACCCTCGCCGAGGGCGTGGGCCAGGGTCACAGCAACAGCTTCGCACCCATCTCCAAGCTGGTGCCGGCTGGCGATCACTCTGATCCTATGAAGCCGCTTTTCTATCTAAAAGTGTTCTAATCCATGAAATATTCTACAATATTCGTTGCTTTACATTATTTTAGGCCTCTAGAGGCCACACCAAAGCTCCATTGTAGTGCCTGTGCACTACAGCGACTGTATTTAGCCGTTGACCAATAAGGGGCCCGCATCGGCAGAAGAATTATTATTACACTTCTTCCTTTACGAACGTTGGACTCGGATATAATCCAGAGACTGTTATTTGATATTCTTGGTTAAATTAAGGATTGTTCGCTAAGTGTAGCGCTTATTTATTGAGTGTGCACCCAGTAGGTATGCACAAGGCAGATAAATAGTAGCAGTAGGGAGCGCTGTTAACTATACTCACAGCTCAAACCTCCATTGGCCCTATATCCGGTTCAAAGGCCTTATCTTCCTAGCGCGGTACAAGGAACGTTCCTGTCTGCGTCAGTTTCTTTCGTACTCCGTCACCTGCACGTGCCCCACCTGGTCCATGCACTAGTTGCGTAGTCAAGTGTTAAGCAATTTCCATTCAGTGAATTCACAGAAATTGATGCCTGCAAATGTTTTTGGCATATCGAGCTACATCGCTCTCAGAGACTGCTCTCAGTTGCCTCAGAACGGTTGCATAGTTCCGCATAGCTCAGAATTAGTTCGTTTGAACAAAAAGCTTCACCGTCGAAGTGAGCAACCCAGGAAAAGACCTGGATGATTATGCTCGTAGATGCAGTATGCAGCTTGTTTCTTCCGTGCCAGCGGCGAACAAGAGCCGCTGCGAAAGTTTACAATCCACGCGACTAATTAAGGCAACTGGCGGACTTTGACGCAAGCCCCACTAAGTCATAAACGCTTCTCGCTGAGCATATGCATCCTCATTGTTCACTAGATGAAGGCCCTTAGTTAGGGGGAAATCTACGTTCATGTCTTTGGGGCTGCATCTACTGGGGCTGTAAGGCTGCACCTACCAAGCCCCAGAAAAGCGTGTCTTACGATCCCCATTCTCGCCACTTTCCTGCAAGCCTTATCCCTCTGTTATGGTCACGCCTCGGGTGCAAATGGAGAACATGATCTACGCCGAAAGCTGCCTGTGGAGGGACCGTCTAACTCTGGCATAAATTTGGCCATCTGGCGTTGATGCGTGCACACAAAGGCGCGGATTTAGTTGGCCGTACACACAATGAGCGACGCATCCCAGAAAACGAATAGCAAACATCCCCATTTGTTCTAGAACCCGACCAGGGCACAATGGCTTCATCGCACTCAAACACCAACGGCTGTCAATTCTTTGGTGTATGGGCTGATTTCGCCGAGGTTGGGCTACCTACTTCGGCAGGTGCAAAACGATCCGGGGAAATATGGTTACATGACTCACGAAGTTGTCGGCTAGGCAACGCGTCTTGTAGAGCACTTGTGCATGGCAGAGACGAGCGTGCGAGAGACCTGTCACAAAATGCCTTTCGCTTTTCTCAGCAGCTTGAATCCCAGGTTGAAGCACTTGTGCTTAGTAATTCATTGGCAACAGCTGCATATGACACTGAATCAGTTCTGTGTCGCCTTCTCGACACTGTGTTTGGGCATGCACTGGCCGCGGGCAGCATTGCAAGGCAGTATGCTCGTGCGACAGATGTCATTCGGGCAGAAGTATGTTCAGCCCTTCGCGTTTGCCATGCCCAGTGCGCTCGACTTTCTCAAGCACGACAGGCATACATCTCTTCTCTTGCCCGTCTGAATAATGTTAATGCAAAGATGTTGGTTCATCAGCAGGCTTGCGTGTTTTGCAAAGGCAGTCTAGTTAGAGATCTTGTGGAGCTCGAGAGGCTAAGGCGCTCGGCAAAGCGCTTACAAGACTCACGCCACCTCATTGAATCAATGAAGCTAAGTAAACAACAAGAAGAATTTAGGACAGCCTTAGGTCAAACGACAGCCGCTATGTCAAATGACTTGGAGGAGCATTTCTTGTCTGAAAAGGCGGCACTCCAGTTGCTTCATGTCCGCTACTTTTCACGGCTCCCCTGACCCACCTTGCAACTCAGACAGAAATATTTACATTTCAGTACTCTTACAGAAAACGTATTGCCTCTAGAGCAAGTCTTTGTGTTTGCTTAACCTGCACTGCTCCTTTATCATGAACCAACTGGGTTTGATGGTTGCAGGTTTCAAGGTTGCTCAATGTACAAGAGGTCATATCGGTTTTGCACCAAAGCTGTCCCGTAGAAGAGCATGCGGCAAGGAAAATATTAGACCGGCTTGAGCAGGCAATATCCGATGAGATTAGGCCATGCACTGAGAAACGCACCAGAGAAGAGTGGGAACTGCAATATGGTGCCATAGAGGCTGGAGTAACCCCTTACAGCTCTGCTTTTCCCGCAGACTCCCGTGGTAACTGCATCTGCGTGGTAAGAATCTTGAATATATGTTATGAAACGCTGACGACAGGTTCAAACAAGCCTGCTAGTGCAACTTGCCTAGACGTCTTTGATGGGTATTTCGTACTGTGCGCAGGTTTCACTACTGCAGCTCCTCCACCTAGAAAGAAAGCTTTCAGTGAAATTCAGCACCGATACGAAAAGACTTCTGCATCTTAGTCGCCTTGCGCGTAGCTTTGCCTATGCTTGGGAGCACCTTGACAAATTTCTGGAGAGTGTGCTTGGCCCACTGTCGCACGCAAGTCATGTGGACATTACAAACGATTCTTGCCAATACCTGCGGGAAGGAAAGTATATTGAACAGATCAAGGTGTTTTTGGAGAGATGCAGCGATAGTACTATTACTCCAGTGACACACAGATTAGAATACTTTCGAAGGTGTTTAAGTCATTGCCCAGCGCTGGCCCAGTCTCGCCTCCGCATGATAGGAGTGGCATTTATCGGTGGGGCGCTCCGCCGAGCGCGACGCAACCCCTCATGTCCAATGAGTTCTTTTTCTTGTTTGCATCGTTTGAAATCAACGCAAACAAATCATTCTTCTGCAGTGCATAAGGCGCTGTTTTCTTCCCGATGGGACGCCCGAAGTGGATTTGGCAGGGAAGAAGTTTCTGGTTTTCAAATGTCTTGCACTGCTGATACTCACGTACAGTACGCAGGCGAGAGCTTCAGAAACTGTAGAGTGAGTAATCTTTCAGTTTTAGTCCATTCCAAGATGCATCATAAGTACAGAAAGCTTTTTTCTATTCCAATGCAAATTTAGAGAGCACAGAGTGGGTGTGGTTGTAAATGTTTTCGGGTGTGCGGTGCCTAGCCTCTAGGGAAAGCTGTTATTGAGTGGGCAAAGACAAATTTTGCATGTTGTTGTTGTTCACACTGTGATCTTTGCATGCGTTTAATGCAGAGCCTATCAGAGTTAACCGCTGACATAATGCAGAGCTCTTCACTACATTCCTGCAATAGAACGAGCCCAGAAGTCTGCAAGAAAGCGACGTTGAGCACAAGAGAATCATCAAACTGCAAATCAATAGAAAGCAGAGATTTAGAGCCGGCTATGCTAAAAAAAGGAGCAGAGGTTATTGGATGTACATACGACAGTAATATTTTTCAGTCTCAACTAGCAAATGGCGGTGCTGCGCTCGGATTACCTGGCACGGAGAGCGCCGGTAGGGAACTACGAAAAGAAGGAATACACGCTCTTAAAGATCTCAAAAATACGCCTGGAGAACCGCATAACGCCTGTAGAGCCCAAGTCGCTGCTGGTTCTGCAGTAGGTTTGGTTCCGTTGGCAAGCAGATCATTTGATGACTCAGAAGTACACTCCAGTAGCACCCGTTTCGAGCGATGTGGAAAGATTTCACAGCACTTCTCTTGGCGACGAAAACCAAATTTCGTGCCGTTGCTCAAGGCTGCAAGAGAAAAGATAAACGGCGCTTCAACTGAAATATTCAACAGGTACTATGCTATCAGAAGGTCTAGTCAGTCACCATCCACCAAAAGCTCGTGGAAGGCCAGTTCAACGTTCGTAAAAATACGTAGCCGTGTCGGAGGTGATACAAGCAGCTACCGTCCCTTTCTGAGTCATCCTTCAAAGCGAAGAGGTTCTCAGAGTCTCATTGAACGCGTCGGAAACAGATCCTGTAACGGAATTGTACGTCAGTGGGTAAGCATGAAGGGACGAGAGTCCCGAACATCACCACCGAGTGGCGGCAGGGATTTTTGGCAGCATCTGGGGTAAGCGTCATGCTCACACAAAGTCCTTGCAGCGAGTCCACTGGAAATAGATGGAAACAGTGTGAATCAATGATTGTGCATGCAATTGTCCAATGCGGGTCTATACAAGTTTCCATGCCCCTAGCTGGGTGACGAGTATAATTGTTTTGAAGTTGCGGCTGCTGGTGGAGTTGCTGCACAACCTCGTGAAATGCTTTGAAAAACATGAAAAGCTTTGGTGACTTCCAATTGAAGAGCGGGCTGCATAGTCGGCTGCCGCAGTGCTCGGAAACGACGCTTTTGGCTTACCATCCACGTCAAGTGCCCAGCCTAATGCAGTCGCTTGAGCGTTGCGCGTTGATGTAGCGCGAGCTCGCGCTAAGCCATCCAATGTCTTTCGGAGTCGACTTTTGTAACACTTTCCATGAAAGGCGTACGAATATTTTGTGTGGTGGCAACAGATGCCAGAAGGCTGATTAGGCTAGGGTGGTAGCCACCTTTTGCGGAGCGACGTAGAAGCTTCTTCTGTCACACTCGAGGCTTTTTATAGGCAATGCCGCCAGTACGGCAAGGATTAATCGGGAAAATATCTAGCGACTATGATTGGGGAGGAGCTAGCAGCCCACGCTGACCATCCACGACAATAGTAGAACTGGTTCACAGTGTAAGGCTGCGCGGTGGAGGGCCCAGTCTACTCCCAGCAGTTATTAACACGCTCTTTCGCAGCACAACCTCGTGAAGCGCCAACTCTTCAACTCTCTTCAAAACTTTCCCTCCGTCTTGGAACAGATAGCATCAGCAGCGTTTACTCGTGGATTGCCCTATAGACGGTTCTCAGACAACCCCTAGTAGCTTCACCCTCTGTGAGATAAGCGCAAGAACTACAGTCATCAGGGCAGCTTTCTGTTGGGTATTGATATGCATGCTTCGGTCAATCACCCGATAAAACCGTGTCGCCTTGCCTGCTAATAACATAGCATGTTCAGTTTGCTCTCTTGCCTCAATCCTCATTGCATTTGAAACCTAATGAAACTTTCCTGTAAACACCGGCCTCAACAATAGCATGCAACATTCGCTCCCAAACCCGTATATGCTGGGCTGTTTGTCAACCGTCACTGTCGCCATACAAAGTGACGCATTCCACCATTGCCAGTGATGTCCTAGCCCGTCGCCGTCGGCTGCCACACAGCGGGTAGTGGCACTATAGTTGTCGCCATTATGAACTTACTGGCTTCCCTGCCGGTTTATAGTGAAGGCCACTCCAGTAGCAGAGACGTAAACCTTACCCGGCTCGTATACCCATCGACTGGCAAACTCCGACGACGGCACTCTCTGCTAGGTTATTCCCAGCCTTAACATGGGATCGTACCCTTACAGGCCTACTATTCTCCCCTTCGCTGGCTGCCCTCTATCTAGGCTCAAAATTCAAAACTATAACGGATTTATGACTAACTTATGATTCGGCTCATTAACCCTACGGGGTCTCCATCCTCAGAAAACAAGCGCTGGAAAGGGAGTCATATTTTCTGTGTGATGGTCACAGTACATTTACCCTGGTGTGCTTCTACGATTTCAGCTTTCTTCGATTGATCCGTCCGGTCCCTGCATTTCCTCCGGTATACAGGACTTTTTTTGGAAGTTTTGGTGGCTCGCGGTACCGCTGCATTTAGGTGTCATCTTCATTCGATGGAGGGCAAATATGTGGAGCCAACCCACGTGTTCCAATAAATTTAGTTGGCATGTCGCGATTGCGTTCATTCTCCCGTCGCGCCTCGCAAGCGCTGCAAGTCTCAAGGATTTCTTCCAGCAGGCTGCTTCCGGAAGCTTTTAGTTGTGGAAGTTTGGGACCGGCTGCCAACAGCCTTGTTCAACATCCCATTGTAAAATCCTTGCACTACAAAAACTTTCCACAGTCCTTTAGTACCTACCAGACCGCGTCGAGCTCCCTTTCGCCCACTGCATAGTCCTGCTCGGTTTCCGGGACACCGTATGAGCAACAGGCAATGTTTTCGGTAACACTTCTAGCCGTTGGCTAGCTAGAAGAGCACGACGCCAACTTCTGGCTCAGTTGCACCGGCTTTTAGGGAAAAAGACTTGTGGGAACCATGAAGCGCGAGTGCTGGGGACGATATCCGTCGTCTGATGAAGACGCTGGCCGGTGCACCTTCACTTTCTGTCTAAGTAAGCAATCTGTACTTCCGATTCGTCAGTTGGGCGGAGATGCAAGCAAATCTACGGATGGAGTTGTGGTCGTACGGTGCAAGACCGAGGAATTTCTGAACGTCCATACGTGTGAACACGGTTAGCAGCCACCTCGGAACGGCCTCTACCGTTGCCTGATATGGTTAGATACCTGCTGCAGATACACAAACCCTAGGAAGCTAATTGTTTCCACAAAAAACAGCACTTGTGTCGCAAGTATTGTTGCTTCTCACATGGCAGTTGCGGAGCACTCTGCCGGTGCCGCAAAAGTACCTGGATATTCCGGCTGAAAGCAAGTACGCCGTTCATGTATCTAAAACTCCACTCCTCATTGATCTGACATAGCAAATCGGGAGGCGTATTCACCATCCCAAAGGGCATACAAGCGTACGCGGGTGCCGAAGTGGGACGCAAAAGAATGCATGTCAGCTGGATGTATTGGGATCTGATATGCAAGATTGCTTCGGCGGAATCAAATGACGAGTTGATTGCTGAAACCTGTAAGTGGCTGCGTGGTTCGTCGATGTGTTGCGCTGCAAACTTTTGTTTCACTGTGACTTTGTTTGTTGAGGGGATTGAATCCGGCGCATATGCCCATAGGCGCCGCCTTCCTTTCTTTGCCTTCATCAGAGCAGGATTGTTTCTAAACGCGCCAATTGACCGTTCGACTCTACTTTTTCTTATCAGTTCTGCTTTCCTCTCGGTTTTCTCTTCAAATTGTGCAGGTCGACTGCAGCTTGGACCAAAGCCTGAGGCTGCTCCTAAAGTGAGTTCGATGCACTGGGCGTCCAGTGGGTAGCCGGCTCGCTGCTATTTTTTTATTACATATGGGAACCCCTCTTTTAATTGTGCATGCTTCTCCTATTTTTCCGCTGTGAACTGGGGTGAGTCCTCCAAAACCGTGGTCTTCACAAGACCACGACAAAGTGCACACATTTCTCCTTTGTCTCAGGCAGCGCCTCTGCACTGCATAGGAGCCTCCTCGCTCGTTTCTTTTTGGGAGGCTACTTTCACTTCTCTTGCCGTACGAAGTGCAAAGGCCGTTGGGAGCGCTGAGCGGTGCACTCTCTCAATGCTTCCCATCGCATAGACGTGAACAGTGTCGTCTGCGGGGCAGCATATTGGCACTCCACCGGGTCACCCACGCCATCTTTAAGATTTTGTCATGCTGAACTGATCCAACATAGAAGTCTAACCTCACGGCAACGCAACCCACTGCTAAATTGAGCTTGCATTTTATATCCATACACTCGTAGATCCTCTTGGTCTCCCACCCACACAGCCTAGTCACAGAAACTGCGCCAACGCAACAGAGGTACGTTGTACCTCTTCGCCGTAGCTCCTGATATCAGACCCATTGCAAAGCCCGTTCTAAGTGGCACCAGCAACTCCTAGCCATTAACACGAACTTGGATACGCACCGGTTAAGCCGATGCGGACATACGGGTGCGGCTGTCACCTCCTTTGTCGCCATCACATTCTCACGTTGAGTGGGGGCCACGCTTTCGCGTGATCGCCTTCTTTGTTCCACTGAGTACTGGGTTGCTCGAACTCTTGCAACCGTTGTTCTTTCAAACGTGCACAATCTCGAATTATGTGCGATCTTGAATTATGTAACCTTGTTTACTGAAAAAGAAGTAGACGTGCCGCTCAGTGCGTCCCATTGTGCTTGCTGAAGGGGCAAATTCCCCGGCTGCTTTCGGTTTACACCTTTTGTCCTTTTCTGAGTGGGGAAGGCGTTTAGAGTCCCCTTTCATAGTCTCTATTTTTGCTTCGTTTCCAATTCCGCCTTCCCTCTTGTCGGCCAGGGGGCTGAAAGCGGCATTTTTTTCTTCCTTTGATGCATGCGCATTCCATCATATCTGCGTCATCTACCCTTTCACCCTCAATTCCCTTTCCTCGGCCCAACTGCTTGCCAAGTATCTTTCTGCCACGGAGAAGACTGCTAAGAATCACTGATTCGAGCCCATTGTTGAACTTGCGCGTACCATGAACTCGCTCTCGCTGAAGCGGTGTATCGATTACTTCCCCTTTTAGGTTGTCTCAGCACTCCTTTAGTCTTTTATATTGCCTAACTGTGGACAAACCTACATCGTAACGCATCGCAGAAGGCTTCTATGGTATATATGAGCTCCGTTATAATTGTGCCCTCGACCAGATAAAATCACCGCTGCCGTGTCCCTGCGTGTAATAAGGAAGTACACGGCAACAGAGATGCCAGTCACAACCGTAGCTTTTCGAGTGTATTTTGAAGGGGGCAGTGCAACTCCAGAGAGCCAACGAACTCCTCCACTTCCCCCGCTTCGCGGCATTCATCATACCTAGACAAACGGCAAGGGCGCGCCCATTCTTCATGAAATACGTTCACCAAAAACACATTTGCCGCTGGCTTAGACGCAGGTACTGAGCTGGTGCCACCAAGAAGGGGCCACCATTTGTTGGTCACTTTCCCATGAGAGGACATATCGTGATAATCCTCAACATGCAAGAGGAAGAAAGAGGAGAGGCTTTGTAAGACCTCGGGACAGTTTCCAAAGGTTCCTCCTTTTCTTTTAAAGCCCCTTCAGTACTAATCACTTCTATGCACCAGTCCACCTCGGTGCGGGGCTGGGATCCGTTGCCCGAACTTGCCCCGATGGGCTATGGTGTGCCTTCAACTTTAGCTGAGTTGCATCCATCGAACGACTGCAGCCAGAAACGCAATTGTAAGTACTACCAGTCCCCATTTTGACGTCTGTGCCAACAGTATTGGCAAGTTATGTATTTATGGCTGTGTGCATGCTGCCCATTTTAGCCAACTTAGCATCCGTGTACCAGCTTCAGGCAGACCCTTCAACAATGCTACCCCCGTAGCTGTTGCGGAGAGGAGGCAACCTGTCATCGAGGTGCACCATGCAATGAACTAGCTTCTCCTACAATGGCAACATTGCATTCAAGCATACCCAAGCTCCCTTCGGGTACATGTGACGAGAATTTACTTCCTCCGCCCCGTGCAGCCACCCTGCGCGCAAGAATTAATGCGTACAACAGCTTCAAGCAGACTATTCTACAAGTTGCCAGAAGCTTTCAAGATAAACAAAATAAGTTTTTCTGTAGACGCGCCGCGGGGCGAAAGCTAATGCTCTAAGGGCGACACTGCTCGCACGCCAATCCAGCCCCAATCCTCAACTCTTCTCGCCGTTGGACCACTTAATGAAAGCAGCGGCTTTTACCACACACTTTGCCTATGGTAAGTCTCTCCCTGGAATTGTTGTCCAGAGCTCGAGTTTCGAGATTTTTGGTATGTCAGACACTTGATGCCGGCGCAGCACCTTCAATGAATTCCATCATGCACACAGGAGGCATCAGGCTTCCACCTACGCTTCGACTTCATTGAGCAGGAAGTTGGAGTCTTTAGTAGTTTATAATTACTCTGGAACATCGTATACGCGGAGTATGGGTGGGTAACTGCATAGTGCAGTGCAGTGGTTTCACAGAATAATGCAGCTTTCTGGCTTTCGGCGGGTCTGCACAGCGAAGGAACAATCAAAGTTTAGTCTTTCCATACGGGCCAAGTCACTTTGCTGTATTTGATACTTCAAGGACTGTATGCGAAGGCAATGAATGATGTCTGCTCCTGGGTCCAGTTTTAGGGCCCGTGCCCTCTTCGGAGGCGCTATGTCCTGCGAAATTCCCAGTTATTTGGACGATATGAGGTGAGTCCTTGCCCTTTGTTTTAATTTCCTGAGTTGTACTTTTCTTTTGGGTAACCGTGCTGCTGCTTTCGCTAACATGGTGATAAGTCATCTACCGTGCGCGGCGCAGAGGTGTGATGTCTTAGAGATCTCAGTCTCATGAAGTTGAAGCTGGCTGGTATTTTTGCATTTCGTTGGTACTTTTGTATACCCCCAGGTTCGGCGTGCTTGTCGATTTGCAGCAATATCCTAGTCGTTCCTGATCAGCAGGAAGCCTTTGTTAACGACGACGGGAGCATTAGTGTTATCATTGAAGTTCTAGAGTATCAACACGTACCAGATGCGAAAGCTGCAGAGTGCGTCGACCAATTCGTCTGTTGCTCGAAAAGACATGGTATTGACGAAAACTTGTAAAAGAGCTCACTCTTTGCTTCATGTTTTTCGTGCAAGTACCTTCGCCTACCATAGTAACCGCCGTGTGGGGGCGACGTTGTGGAGCATAGGTTCTTCTTCGGCGACCTTATGGACGCAAATGCTGCCCTATCGTCACGAGTTCTGGAGTCGTGGTCTGCGCTGAAGGGAGAATCGCTTGTAGCTGGGCAGTAAGCGATGCTTCTATCTCTAGTCTTTAAACCCAGAGCCGTCACGTTGAAGGGTATCAGCTTTCTTAGGCAATTCGCTGCCATCTGACACGTCTTGCAGAGCTATAGATAGATTACAACGGCTGGGTTGTTTTTGGAGGGGGGAAATTCAGTGAAAACCTCGGGACTTCATCTTCATGCCTTCTCTGCGCTCTTCAGCACAGTAGCTTCGCTTAAGGGGGAATTCGATGTGAGGAAAAAAGGGGCTGCAGCTCCTGACCATGTATGCGTGCGGCTGGCAGTAATACGAATTCCAGGTTAGCTGGCACATCTGTTTCAGCCCCGAAGTGCTCTTCTGAAGTTCAACTAGTTTTCGCTGTTTTCTCCTTGGCACTTGAGACTTTTGATTCCATCGTGAGAGAAGACTTGTCTCTTTCGTACTTCTTGGGGGCCTTGATCTTTTGACTTTATCGCGGACGAATATTTGGTTTCCTCTTACTTCGTGTGAATCTTGTTCTCAGAGCACCGCGCGGATGTTGTCATCTCCATGAATGCAAGAGATGACACTTACGGGTCAAGTGGTGCGCAGCCAGGTGGTTCAGCGTCGTTGGATGACACGTTCCGTGTCATTCTTGAGTCATTCAACATTCTCAACTATGAATTATTTGCCTAGTCTTGGACGCAGCCTTGTGGGCACGTTCGGGTGTACAGTGACGCTACGAATTGCAACTGCGGCAGCGGCGTGTACTAACAATGCTCATTTTGTTTTTTTTTTATGGCTGATACGCTTGCGCGTATGAGGTCCACCAGATGGATTGTTTTGCTGCACATTAACTACTGCCTTCTGACATTTTTCGCGCTTCATGGCCTAGCCGACACCGGAAAAGAGTTGACTGTCGCTTGGCCAAGTGCAATTCTGGCGAAGGAAGAACGCTCATATCCATGAAAGAATATTTCTGTGGGCGGCGTATTGCTAACCTTTTCCACATAGCTGAGACAGTGTGTGCCCAGCAGCCGAACAGCTGGAACTATGCTTAGATTCGTGCCGTGGGCATGGTGCCCGATGGTACAACTATGTGCAGCAACCAACGTTGATCTTAGTTTTCCAAGAGGAATAATGGGCTTATTCGGTTTGGGGATGAAGCTCCACGACGTAGGTATCCTTCAGTTGAAAACTTTTAGAATGTGGACGACTTTCTTCGGTTCAGAAGCCAGACTCAGCTGGTGCCAGGTTCCTCTCTTTGCAGGCCAGAGCAGCAGATGAGGTCGTAACTGATATGCGCGATGACTTGCGAGCTCAGTTTGAGGTTAATTTCTTTGCACTGACAGCTGCATTTTGTTTTCCACCCGCACCTTTAGGTTCTGAATACAGATCGTTACGACAGACTGCTCTTACTCGCTCAAAGAAAACGAGAACTAGCAGCCCAGTCAATGGCGGCCGCGCGTCGTGAGGAGTTATTGCCTGGGCAAAGTGGGGAATCCTTTCCTTACGCACAATCACGATCAGGTATCCGGGGTGGTGGTTCCAAACTGAAACGTGGATCTGCAGCTACGGCGAGCACAACAGAAGACCCAATGCTCCTAGAGTACGTCAGACGAAGCAACAAACTGTTCTGGTATACTGTCATCAGCTGCTTGCACGCTTAGGTATAATATGAAACAAGCTGCACTATTGCTATCAGAAGCAGAGAACCAGGAGCGTACGTCTTGCTATGCCGAACGGGTTTTCTCTGAGGTTCTTACCGAATGCCAGATGAGGCAGCTTGGATAAGGTCGCTAGTGGAGGCAGCGAGGCTGTCAACATCCAGCGGAGAAGAAAGACCTGTTGCAGGTATCAGCTTTCAAGTAACATACTGCTGCAAGAAGCTCTTGCCTACAACCCATACTAGACTGTGAAATCCTGAAGATAGGGCCACTGACCTTTGTGCCTGACGTGAGCCAATGAATAGCACCTTGTGCTTGAACATCTCCTTTTCAAAGTAACACTGACGGTATTCAGCCTGACGAACTTCTGCGCAATAACCCAAGGTTCGGTGTGCACGAGCTTGGCCATACGTTTCTTTTTTGCTAACCTTCAGCTTAGCAACATGGCGCAAATCACTGGATCTGCACTCACAATTTACCATAGTCAAGTGCTTAAGAAGTCAGCCGAGAATTCGTGGTTATTTCTTTACGGGCGTTCAAAGACAATCGATTTCCGCATGCCCAGCACGTTCTTTTGGGAAGGCGTGGACGTCCCAGTGAAGGCAACTGAAGACTCCCCTAATTGTGGGACTGTCCACCCTAGACAGCAACCTGGGACTCTACCAATGCTGCATCTGCCGCAGGTTTTTCATTCAACTACAGAGGTGCTGAGCAGGTTCTCTGCGCCCCTTCACAGGCTGCTCGTGATAGTTGGATTGACGGTGAGTGGCTGCGGGTACCAGGGGCTTCAGTTCTCTTGTCTAATCAACGGGATACTTTCAGCGCTCTCCGAGGCCTGGTTCTGCAGGCATATGGGTCTCAAAGGTGAGATTCGTTTAGGGTTCGACAGGAGTAACGAAGCATCACTGGAGTACCTAGGCACTCTGCCAAGCATTAAAGCAGCTGAAAGAGGTATTGCAAAACCACCAGACAAAATATTGGCAGCAACTATACTGCACGATAACAGAAGCACGGATTGAAGCACCCCCTCCACCTGTGGGTTGCTTGGGCATACATCAGCATTATTGAACTGTTTCTAGACCTATCGCTAAACAGCCGCCGCGAAAAACACCCGAGAAAGAATCGAAGGCGGCAGCAAATGTCGACTTCTCTCTCGACGAAAACCAGCAGTTCCGAATCCATGTAAGCAGATTCTGTGAATACTATGCTCCACATCACTTCAAGGCTTATCCCGCATTAGGTTAATGGCGTAGAGCAACCCGTCGGTAAGACGGTCTGCTAACTGGCACCATGACTCAAAAACTATCGCACATTTGTTAAGGTGAACATATAGTCTTCGATGCCCAAAAGTTCGCAAAGGACGCTGCGCAGCAGTCCGATGAGCCGGCAATCACGAAAGCAGCGGTTGACATATCCGAGAAGGCGCAGAAAGTTACAAGCACTGCAAAGGAAGCAACAGGCCCAAAGCATGAAGGAACAGCATATGATGAGGAGATGCAAAGAGGGTCGGAAGAAGATGAAGGAGAAAGTGATCCGGACGAAGAGAATACCAACGAAGAAAATAGGCTTGATCCCTAAGAACCTGAGGCTTTTTGATTGTAACTGACTGCATTAATTAACCATGGTCTTCATATTTTGCATATTTCAGCAGTCATTCCGTCTACACTGTCCTGCGGTCCTTTGACGCTTTCTTGGGTGGTGCTATGTATAGTGACCTACAGAATTGCCCGTGGGGGTCTTAAACTGTGACGGCGTGCCAGAAGACAGCAAAAACTGGCAATTAGCACGAGTGAACTAGCAGTCGACAAGCTCGAACCCAGTTGAGGGACAGACATTTCGCGATTTTTGTACCATTTCCTTATTCCCAGTCGACACTTTAATACTCAATGCTATTCAGAGATCCCACTCTTGCCGATGCCCAAAGTTCGAAAGGCTTGCGATCCTAAAGAAATGTAGTGCTACGGTCCCTTCCTCCTAAAATATGGTCCAGCCCAGGACGGCGCAAATGCGATGCCTGCCACATTGGCAAAGCGCGTGTAAGGCATCTTTGGCTATTCCTTTGTTTCCGCCGCATCTTCCACCAATGGGGCATCTTGGGTAGCCTCAGCTGCTGCGCTGCCATTGTGTTCCGCAGCTGCCTGTTCTACGGCGCCCTCGGCTTCGGCGGCACCTTGTCCAGCCTCTTCTACAGCTTCCCCATGGGGCAGCCCCGCCGAAGCAGCCCCCTCGTTGCAAGTTTTACGTGACTTTTTCCAGTAGCAGCAGTCAACTAGCAAGTTGATGGTGTCGTCATTGTGTATACCCGCATCCCTGAGGGTTTGGGAGTCATCGAAAAGCATATTACTCATGAAGGTAAGCTTGATGTTCTCTGGCTTGTACCTGAAACGAGAAAGCCATTGCACTATCCATGCCGATAGCAGGCACTCGTGCAACTGAGCAACAAAACTGGAGCCTGAAGAGCACATAGCACTAACTTCAAAACCTACATACCTGTTGGGGTCGTCCAACTCCTCTGCAATCTTCGTTCTGAGGTCGCCAACTGTCTCATGATCACCTATAGTTATTTTTATTGTTTGGCGACACAGGAAGGACCAGACTGGTATGCAGACGCATCCGCCAGATCCACAATCTACGAATACACACAGTGCAAAGCCCTTCGTAGAGTTCTGCGACCTGATGGGCGCGCGGGAGACATCCACTCGACGTTGAAAAAGGAGCCTGAAAAAAGCGGTGCAAGATTAGTCACTTACGTTGGAGAGTCTTAACCTTTAGGTTCATATCTACACGTTCATAGACATCTATCGATAGCTTTGATCGGCCAGATTTATTGTAATCCCTGAGCAATTTGTCGTCTCGAAGCTGAAGAGTCCCGACGAACAGCAGGATCGTTTCTGGCTGTAAATCGCTTGCGTCCAGAGCTTCTAAGACAGACTTCTTTATATCGGATATGACTGCGTCCATCGGGATGTGAGGTAGCTCAAGCTTCTTGCCATTGCTCCCCCTAGTCCAGTCGCTAAGGATTAGTGTCACCTCGGTGTTCGGCATCTTATGGAGCAATGACGCAACACGCAGCAACAGTAGGTTATGAAACCCTAAAAAGGAAATCAGAATCGCAGAATGTGAAAAGAATTGTGAGAATGCGCAGTAGATTCCCGTGTAGAAAACAGCCACTGCAGCGCCTGTGGCTAGGGAAGGGTGGATCATTGCGCTCTGCGAGCACTCACAGAAGTGACGTCAAACTTCAAGCGCTTCTGCGCATCAAGCATACTAAGAATAAGAAAACGTGAGAAATTTGACGCATACAACGCTCTACTCAAGGAGACATGAATGGCTGTTGCGCGTGGCTCGGAGCGGAGGTGAAGTGTGGTGGGCAAGAGGACCGCGGCCAATCGGCGGACACAGCACAAGCCGGTAAAGTGGCTCAAGCTCGTCAACTGAGATCCATACAGCAAACGCTCATCATGGAATCATTTCAGTCCTTGATTTTTATGTGAGTCCAACTTCTTCAAACGAGCAATCTTCAACCGAACCAAGCATCCGTTGGCAACGAACGGGAAGCAAGGTAGCTATGCACGTCGGATAACCAAAAATTGAACTAGTAAGTAAAATTGCTGTGCATATATAGTGTGCCTTCAAAATTTACCGTTCTGTTATTCTAATGACTACACATAACAACGGCAAGTGCGCTGTATGCGGCTGTGTTGGTGGTCGTTGCCGCCGATGCTCACCCAAGCCCTGGCTTGCTGCGGGTAGGCTCGCTGCCTCGGCCATCCGCGGTTGTGGCTTCGGTAAAACTGTCATTTGAGGGAAAAGAACGGAAGTATCCTCAAAGACGGTGAATGGAGGAAGACTTTCACCCAAGATTGCTGCATACTAGGTACGTTCAGCACTGCCAACACATCGCCGACGGTTCTGTCCAGCACTGTGGACCTGTGAGATTATCAGGCGGCCTGTAGGAGTTCAGACAGTACCTATCCTTGAGCCGTTCTGTTTTTTAGCGTAAATACTTTATATATTGAGGGGATGGCAAGGTGAAGAACCGACAAAACGCTAGATGCAGAAACAGTGCCGTCTCAACTTCCACATGGCGAGGCAGCTCGTGAGCGAGATGCCATCATAACGTGTTGTGATAAGTTGTTGACTCTTTTGAGAATTGACACTTGTTAGACCATATGGGAACATAAAGAATTCCCGCATTGGTGTTCCTCCGTGACTTCCTGCACTCCGTCTATTGCTGTCGCTGGGTTGCTGCATCGATTGGTTGGTTGCGAGCGGTGTGCTAGTCCCAGACCATACGCCTATCTCGAATATCGGCGTAGAATTAAAGGCTGCCTCATTTTTGGTCAAGTGAATGGCTTGCGTTTGCCCCATTTCAGACCCAGACCTCGATAGCGCCGACGATAACGAGCACGCTGACCGCATATAAGAGAAAATGTCAGGAGATAACTCCGGATGCGGCACCGTGCCGTTTTGCGGAACTCCGACTTGCGATGGACTCACCTGTGAAGCGGAACAGGTGCAGAGGGCACACATTCGGCTGCAGGCTGATCAACCTGTTATCCCGGTGCCTGTCTATCAGGAAATCCAGAAGCGGGATAAGTACATAGAGGTGCCGCAAGTAGAGGTCAAGGATAGCATTGTTCCCAAGGTTTATAATCAGTCTGCTGTTCACGATGTTCCCAAAGTACACGTTGATTGTGGCGAGAGGAACCTCGCCATTGAGACAGAAAAAATCATTGAGAGGTGAGAGATCAGTTAAGTACTCGCTTCATACTTGTGTACGATTTGCCATCCAAAGTGTCAACCGGATGCCACTTGCGAAGTTTTGCGTTTCCGTTCAGAGATGTAGATGTCCCGGTGCACGTGGGATACGCACCTCAGTTCGTCCCCAAGTGGGACATACGCGAGGTGCCTCGGCCCGTTCCCAAGTATGAAGGCGAGCAACAAATCATTGAGGTAGAAGTGCCCCAAATAGAGTACAAGGATACCTATGTTGAAAAGGAAGTGGTGGTAGACGTCAAGGAGAAAATTGTCCCCAAAGTGACGGAAGTTGTTAAGGAGGTAGAGGTTATGCAGTACGAGTGGAAAGAGAAGTATCAAGACGTCCCCGTATACAAATATGTCCCTAAGTTCGACGTTGAGCTTGATTGCCCTCCCCCGCTTATTGTCCCATACACGGAGACTCGTTATGTCCAAGATGAACCCCAAACGTCCAATCCCTACTGCGGCTGGTCGGCTTGCTGTGCGCAAGTGCATCAAGAGCCTCACATCAGAACGGTGGAGAAGGCCGTTCGCACCGAGCAGCAAAGACTCTATCCAGGTAAAATAAAAGGACTGTAGTGTACTCATACCTGTTTTTAATGCCAACTCATGGATTTCCTCTTTGAGCGAAGATGTGTGAAAGACGCGCCCATGTCATACGCTCCAGGCTCTGCCCAGCTTACTGAGGCTAACGTGAACTACCCAGTGGGGCAAGATTTTGCCTCTCATTTCCAACAAAATACTGAAGAACGGGTCCTTAGAGGGAACAGTGTCAGCAATAGCCCCGTTCGTCCAGCAGGTCTACCCCAGCTCCCCCCTGGCCCTGTTTATCCAAAGCCCACTCCGCAGGTGAGTCGGTTCTTTTCAGTTTCCTGGATTTGCCGAGGTAGGATCAGTGCCTTAGCAGCCCCATGTAACACAGCTAAGTGGGACGCTTGTGCATGCATTCGCCTGCGTTCTCTCGCAGGTAGGTGCCTCTGATAAGCAGAAAAGCAGTGGGGCTCGCTTAAACGAGAAAAAGCCGAGCTTTTGGAGCTGGTTAACTGGAAAGGGGGAGGCACAGAAGCCGACGCCTGCTGAGAAGTTCGGATATCCAGAAAACATGCCGACGGATTTCGCCGCTGCCTTTCAGAACCAAGGAGCACCAGAGAGTCGAGGAGGCACCCAAGATCCTGCAGGTCCGATGCCAAAGGCGCCAGGCTTCTTAGCGTGCCGCCGGCACTGTGTAGCTGATGCGCATTTGTGCTCATGACCATGAAGCCGTGTTTGTGCGACATCTCGATGTGCGATTTCAGATGCTGAGACGGTTTCGGAAGAGAAGAACAAGCCTTCCGATGAGCTAGAGCCATCTGTTGTCTATCGTGGCGCCGTCAATAAACCACCTGAGTACGGAGGAGAGCTGGATCCTATATCCTTCAAGCTACATGCGATAGAAGTCCACCAGTTTGTTCCTCTCCCGAACACGGAGCCCCCAGAGTTTGTGAAGGCCCTCTCCAATGGAATTATGACAAGTGATGTCACTGGACTAGAAAAATTCTTCGGTGGTCATGTGCCACCCGGTTGGGCTGACCCCGATGTCACTGGCATTCCCGCCACCACCATGAGTGACATCTTGTCAGGAAACGCCCAGAATGTAGGGATAATGAGCCCCCTGGTGTGCCAGCTGTCATCGCAATTTGCTAAACAAGGCTTCGTGCCGGGCGGTACACAAGATATGACTCAAGTCGGATCATTCAAGCGCAACACGTCTCAGCCTCATCCGTAGAGAAGTGCAGCAGCCGACAGCCGTCTTCCAGTTCGACATTGCAAAATGCCAAGCTGATGAATGGTAGTCACCCTGAAGGGGAAAAATGCTGTCAGTCGTCTGCAAGTTTCCATTTAGTTCGTACGCATCCAACTGGGCAAAACCCACAGAGCCATACGGCGTATCAACGCCAAAGCGACTCACCTGAGATTATGTCTTCGTGAGTGCGCGACCTTTTACTGATGGGATGTTTTCCATCGTCGTTTTAAACCCCCATTTTGTGGGCGCAAGGGCCGAGGACTTCACCCAGTTTCTTGGTTTATTTACGCCAAAAGCTAACTGCATAACGCTTAGTGCGGAGTTAGTTAGTAGTTACTAACTAACTAGAAAAGGCACCGTAGTGCTCAGTCAACGGGAAAGGCCACGGTGGTTTCCTCTAATAAGCTGGAAGGGCGCCTTTTTCCCACACTACGATAGCTAAAACTTTACACTACGGCAGATACAGAGGTTAAGGCGCACTTATTGTGCCTTCATTCTTGTTCTGAAATGGACGTTTTTTCATGACCACGCAATATTCTCAGCCTCCATGATGCCGACGGACGTAGGTCGCGTCCGGGATTGGCCAATAAATCTCCAATCAATAAAATCAAATTGCTCCCGTGCAAGAGTAACTCCGAATAAGTGGATCCAGGCCCGTCACGTCGTTTGTTACAAGTCCAATCCTCCTCTGTAAAATGCACGTAGTCAAGTACACAAAACTGCACGGAATGCTTTGAGGGAAAGCAAATTCGACCGCACTCCCACCATCCACCCACTGGCCCACTGGCGTCAGTGCTGCTTACCAGCCGCAATGGGAACAACCCTCGACCAAAGCAACTCAAGATAAAATCAAAGCCATCTGTTGATCCCCGAAGGAACTTGAAGAAGTCATCTGTATTGCATGCTTCTGCCTCCCTTTGTGAAAGCAGTAACTGCAACATATCACAATACCAATGGTGAGGTCAGCGTGGCAGAGGAGCGGCATCCTCATACAGCATCAAAAGATCTTGCACAGGTGACGTGCTGCATGAACGTACGCGCTTTGCATTAAACTGCGGAGTGCATATCGCGCAGCAGTAAGATGCATGTGACAATCCTTCCGTCTGGAGAATTCCAGTTTTGTTGTCGCCGTTGTTGCTCAGGCAATATATGTGAAATGAGTGGCCACAGCGAAAGTGGACGGAAGGCAGTTCAATTGGGAGGAAACAAAAGTCACACCGTTCCGACTCAAAAACTTGAGCTGAAGCATCAAGCAAACCAAAGAGGCCCGCACTCTCAAGCGTAGTTACCTGTAGTTAACCTGCTGAACTTGCCTGTCTGACAAGCAATTAACAGCTGCACCTATGCATAACATCGTCCGAAATATCCACTCATTTTACTTTCGGGAGGAACGCCGTGTGCTCCGCAGACCATCGGAGATATGAGCACAGCAATGAGGGGGCTTTTAACTCTGTGCCCGCACCTTTGCACTTGTACCGGTCGATTTCCTTGGCCATATACGAAACTTCAGCCCTGTCGCTTTGCAGCAGCGCCTGAGACTGTTCCAGGTGCTCGCTGAGTTCGTCGCTTGCCCGGAGGAAATAGTCCTGCGCAAAAAGCAATCATGGTGAGCCGTGCAACCGGCGCTGAACGTAAACGTTCAACAATGGGAAGTTCGCGGAAAATCGAGGCGTCATTACGATGGGGAAATGGGCAGCTGTTTTACCTTCACAGCGTCCAGCGTAACCGCCGGGCTCTGCTGCAAGACCTCCAAAACCGTCAGCGGCGGCAGTAGACGATGCCGCTGAGCAATATAGAAGTGACAGGCGGAAAATCTAGTGTCGTAGGTGCAACGCAGGCCTACCTACAGGTGTTCGTGCTCTGCCCAGCTAACAAATGACCACCACGTATTACCTCAATATGCATTAGTACTTCTCTGATTTGACGCTCCATCCCTTTCTGGCTGACAAGGCAAACAATAATAGCGCACAGAAGGCATTTTTCAAGCTTGCTAGGAATAATGTAACGGTGTACGAACGGGATGGTTGACTCCGTAAACTCACGAAGCGAGAATGCTCAAGGTCTGCGTCCAGAGTGTAGGTGCCTTCGATCCATTCTTCATACAGAACCTAAGAAGGGTTGATATGTCATTGTTGGCTTCAAAATAGGCTACGGGAAGCTGCAGCTCATGTCGTTTCTCGCACTCGAGAATCATTCCCTCCTCAAAACCGAAGATGGTGCACAAGATAGCCGACCGAAATTGCTCTTCATGAGTCTACATAACTCCACCCGTCCGCACATAGGGAGCGTTTACTACTCAGAATAAGCGGCTCGGCAAGTCAACACTACACCTGACAGTACAGAAATAGAGCACACTTACCATTGATCGGCTCTTGAGAGTTTTCCGTAGTATTTCAGCGTACAAAGAAGAAAGTTCGACAGCTTTGCCGCAAACATCCATGCCGAGGAGACACCGATTTTCGTCTGTGAGACCATTGGAAACACTGCTGTCATCCAGAAGTGGGCGGTAAGCTGCGTGCCATTTGCCTGAAAAGCCACAAACAATCCAAATATACATCGCCTATACGCCGTGAAGAACCATGAATTAATGAAACGGGAATCACGTACAGTATCAGTTAAATGCATTCCACTCAGCAGGCATTGTAGAGGCCATGGTGCTGTAACAGAGCCGAAACAGAAACTGAAACGCAATGATCGCACTGAGCTCTTCCTCATCGCGCGCCACTAGCGCCTCCTGCCAGCCTCTGTGCTAAGCACCAATGCACGAAAGCCTACGCAAAAGCAGTTCCAGAAGTGAGGAAAATGGGCTGCACCCCAATATTGAAGGAGTGGCAGAAATAGCTAGCCTCGCCTCTTCTACTGCCTCCTGCAGTTTTGAGTCACTGCAAAGGGCCTCATGGCGCGGAACTAAACGTCTTGCCACTGGCACTCCATGTACCAGCACGGAGAGGAATAGCAGCAACACGTCAGGATCGTCAACAAACAGAGGGATAAAGACTTCGACGCTGCAAACAACAAAAACGGCACTATATACATACTATCGCTAATATTACTCAGGTACTGCATCCATAAATGAAGGCAGCCAAGTGTGCAGTGCAGCAAACTACAGAATATGACGTCCGTGATAATGCTGGTTTTCCAACCTTGTGTGGTAGTCCGTGATAAACTGGCTGAGGAGAAGAAGAACATCAATGGCGCTGTGTCGAAGGAGGGTGCTGCCGTGTTTTAGCAAGAGCGAACACGCAGTCGGCGCATCGACCTGCTTCAAAACCTCCACTGCTTTTGAGAAATTCCTGAGACACAATTGAGCCAACAAGCATCATAAAGACTTGTCGAGATACGCTTATGAGCAGAAGCACGGAAATTGTTTGCAACGTTGTCATCGTAAGCCTGCGTTTGCCCTGTGGTTACAAAGCAAGACTGGAACCGTCACAGGTAGGCTTACTGGGTTTCCAAAAGCAACGATAGATATTCATCATGATATCCATGGCGGCTGGCTATTGTGCACGCAAGTTCCGTGTCTCCTGAACAGGGCAATCGCATGCACCTCACTAGAACTGGTAAGGATTCCCCACTGCTGCAAGCAGAAGAATGGTCACACCACTAGGTGCCACAAATATGAAGTATCCGATGGAACAGGCAAGAAATTTTGAGTTTGAGTCAACCCAGAGAATAAAGCTTGAATGAATTCCTTAGTACTGACCATTTAGTCGGCATTCATTGAGTGCAGCCGCAAAAGAGCAGGTCTTGCTGATACGCGGGTCTTCCAAAAAGTTGGCAAGAAGGGAATCATCCTTCAGCCTGGCAGTGCACTTGAAAAAGAGCAAAGTGTGTTGCTGCATAGCACACCCTGCCAGATGGAGGTGGAGGAGGTACAGGGCAAGGTGCCTCAATTCTTGAGCGTCAAGAAACTTTTGGATGACGGCAGACGGTTCTAGAAACCCTGTAGAGCCAATCTCGGACGCAGCAGAAGTTTTTCAAATACGCGATCAAGCACGCAGGTGTCCTCCGTAAGGAACTTACGAGTGGTGGAAAACATCCTGACGTCGCCTCACCAATTGTCTTGATGTACATTTCTACTGCTCTTTCAGGCATATTCTTAGAATAAAGCCAATCCCCATGAAGCCGGTACACTTCCTGAAATGTTCAATTCACGTAGAATACCTGCCAAGAATCATCATCGTATTCAGCTGCTCCTCTAGGCCCATTTTACCACAGTACATTCAACCTCATCCCCCTCCCGACGACTGTGGTGCCAAGTAGCAAGCTTCTTGCTGGCCTTACCTGGAACACTTGCTGCGGCTGGTGATCCTGGAGGGCAACTTCAGCAGCCCAGTTAAAGAGCCGCTTCCTGAAGAAGGCAGCCACGCAGCTTCGTTAGATTAAACTGACAAACGCAACAAAGATTGCTGTTCTCGTTGAAGAGTGCTTGCCTGCCGCTGCTGCTGCTGCACAACAGATGAAATGATGGAGAAGGTGTTCAAACCCCTTGAGGTTGCAGTTGCTCACCGCAGCAAGATGCTGAGGCGCTCATTGAAGCTTTTTTCTTTCACATCAAACAATACGTTACTATCCGTTGAACCTCCTTTAGCAATTACGAAGAGTGTATCCTGCAGGAAGCATACTAGCTCAGCAAACCGGGAAGTCTGTGCACAAGTAGTTCTAGCGACGGCCACTTTCCCCCAGAGGCAGCGGAAAACGTCTGGAGTGTTGGACTTGCTCGCCTCACCCTACCGGCAGTAGCGAGGTATTGCTACACAACACTGGTGTTGGCAACTTACCATTGCCGAGACGACATGAAGGACTCCTCGCATGGGTGATGAATATGCGATAAGTCGGAGATCCGGATAGCAAAGGTGGATAGTCAGTGTCTGGTGCTGCTGCGGAGTAGCAAGTCACCAAAAACAGCACGCTCCGGTGGTATTACACCAACTCGGTTCCCCTGCCGTATATCAACTCTATGTCGCTATCATGCGTGTCAAACACTGTTGTGGGCGGGCACCTACCCTGGCGAAATATGCGTACTGAGACGTACCGTACTCTTGGATGGAAGCGATGCAGATGCTTGAAGCAAACTGCCAGTCACTTCTGCACTGGGAAATTCAGTCTCGGCAGGGGCTTCCTCGGTCGTGACGGAGACAATATAGGACTTGTAAGTGGTCAAGATGTGGCAGTGGCCTTCCGCTGGCAGGGCCCACAGGTTACCTGAACCCAATCAGTACACTACGGAAACGAATCGTGCAACTCCACGCAGTTCTGTCGTTTCGCCTTTCTTGAAACAACCCCATGCAGGAATGGGCACTATTCAATGCACGGTGCCACGAAGGGTTGCATGTGAAGCGCTTGCCCTGATCAGGATCGACACAGAATATCCCTTGATCATGGTGTACAACAAACGTGCCAAGCGATGGCAACGCGCTCACAACAAGAGTAGACCCATCGGGCACGTTGTCTGTGTGAGAAACCTGCGCAGTATCCATGACAGCAGACAAACGATTATTTTGAGGCCAAGCGCTTCCAAAAAGTAAAACAGTTCGCAGCAGCTAAGCACGACCCGCACAAAAGCCGTCTGGCCTCCCCTTTCTCCCGGCTGTTTCACACTCAGTATATATTCATAGAAGACTCCCCCCAAATGAACAAAGACAAACCTTGGGCTCTCCCTTGAGCGGCACGACGTAGCAAGTTATTGAGCTGGCGTAGCACACAAGCATGTAGTGGAACTTGGAGTCTGAGATTGAGGTCAGGAAGCGCACGCTAACAATGCGATCATCGCTTTCCCTGAAAGAAAAGCATTGCAAAGAATGGTCTGCAAATGGAAGGGCAGCAGAACCTCAAACCCTAGTGACACCACCCGTAGTTTAACTGGTGAAATTCAAATGGTCTTAGACCTCCAAAAATGGCAGCTACACACTGCCTACCTCATCAGTCGCAAGCGGCAGGTCTTCTCCTTCAATAAGTTGCCGCGGAAAAGGCAAATGCCAGCAGTTTCGGTGCCAACCTGAAGCTCACAAGGTTAGCGCGCAGTCAATACGTCAGTGTTCAGAGGCAGGTACGCAAGAACCGTTGCAGGATCCGCCAGGTCTACGCCTCCCGTTAATGTCGACCAAATGCCAAGTCACGGCCAACGAACGTCCCCACAAAACCGAAACCAGGCCCTGTGGGAGTTGATTGGGAATTGCATCTCAGCATCTGGAGTGGGCTTCGAAACCGCCTGAAAGTTGAGTGCCCCCTAACATACGGCAAGCATAGTGAAGTTCTGATTGATGTCCGAGCAAACGAAAGCTTGTTCTGGAATCTTAGAGAAAAGGCCTGCCTCCCGGAGAAGCACGGGATTCCCATTGGCGTCTACTTGAGTGGTGCTGTAGCATTTATACTTCAGAACCCCTTGACGCACACGCAGGTCGTCGCTTTGTCCCGATCCATCAACTGCAGCGCCCGCTTTGCCTGGTTTTTCGGCAGGGACGTCTCGCCTGCGCATGCATCAGCACGAGCGGTGGTAGACATTGAAAAAGACAGCTGTGGCCGCAAGAAACAAAGGGGAAGAAAAGGCACTCAGCGCACCATGCGCAGTGGAAGTATTCCACCCACCCAATACAAACAATGCAGCTCGCCGAGATGGCAGCATGCATTGCGACAAAACAAATGTCAAAGCACTTCAGAGACTTCAGCTGAAAGTCACGGTCTAACGTGTGCAAGATGCCTGCATCATCTCCCATCCACAGGCCCGAATCAGTCCCCACCGTACAGACAATGACCGAGCACGGCAGCGGAGACATGCGGGGAGGCCCTGACACACAAGAGATGGTGAAATAACAATGTCTACAAGTCAACTCGTCAGCGCATTGGGCGCATTAGATATAAAGCGTCCCCTTTCGTAAAGCACTCCCCTGCTGTTCGCTTATGCCACTACCAGCCCAAACACAACGCAACCAACATGCCTCATTCTGGTCAGTCTTCTAACATGCAGCAGTGGAATACCTGTTGCACCTGCGTGCTGCTGTGTTTGGCCTGGGCACGGCATATCCGCCGCTGAAGTGCCTCCGACGCTTCTGAAGGTGCCCGATCCATTGGTTATTAAAGGGAGAGGACGGGTCCTTTCGACAATGCTGCGGTCAAAGAAGTTGAGGCGCCTCAGCTGCTGCATTCTTACCCTCTGACGCAAACAAGCGCTGTAAGTGCTATGCACTACAGCAGGTCCGGACCTCAGCGACTAGCCTCAAAGAATAACAACGGAGGCGTTATTGAGGGCGTAAATAAGCTCAACTGCCGAAATATCTATGGGGTGGCCTGCGTCGTAAATGCCCGATCCCCGAAGGTGATACATCACGGCAGTTTCTAAAACCTGTGATCAGACGTAATGTCAGAATTCACGCCCATACCAGAACTAGCACAAGGTCACTTGTAGCAGCTGTGTAAGCAAACCTTTCCCAACAGGCGCGGCTCCATTGGGCAATGCTGATGCTGGAGCGGGTCGAGTGTCTAATAGCCTCCAGGCCATGTCAGCACAACAGCCACACAATCGTAGCTCACATGCAGTCATTTATATCAATCCTGGACTAGTCCCAGTGTCTGGCGAAAGTTCTAAGAACTTGCCAGTAGAGACTTGCACCCTCTGTCGTCTATGTTAGCCGGTGCTGAAGGCCCCAAGGAACCGCTGTGCAGCCTTCTAGTTTCTCCCTAGTTAACTCCTCCCTTACAAGCGGTACCGAGTAGAACGAGCAGTTGCTCCAGACACAAATATCGCGGATGGTTGTCCAATGGCTGCATGCGTCGATCCAGCAAAGGAATGGGGGGTAGAGCGCAAATACAACTGTCTCCCTGGAATCTCCCTGCGAACTTCACCTAGTGACAGACCTTCATTAGTTTGCCCCTCAAAAAAGTGTTTTCTGATAAGGATAGGGCTTACTGCAGACCTCGCATCCAAATGCTCAGCCGCAGTACTCCCGCGTATGCTGCCAACGAGTCAACGCTCTGCGTTGCCCTCAAAACTCTCTCGCGAGATACAGTAAATATGTATAGCGTTGCAATAGCGATATTAACAGTTTATCTCTATTTATTTTCCTGCACTGCAATTTGTCTTGGAGCTGAACATGAGCACAGTTAGGCCGCCCATGGTGTGGAAAGCCGGATTTCACTGGCGATGGCGAATCCGCAGAGACGAAAGCGGCACTTTCTGCTCCGAGTCGGAAGTACACAGCTAAAAAGCTTTAATCGATATGACAACATCTTAATTCGTAACGCAAGGGATATCTTATCATCACCGCTACGCGCCGGCCACGTGAAGTGATGTCTTGCGTTTGTCTAGGGTAGCTAATGCCTGCACTGCAGCGTAAAATAGTACGATGCATGATTTCGCAAGCATGACTCATGCGAAGCGTCCCCTTAGAACTCGATTGCAGTGAAGCCATGGAATGCAACTGGTTGCGGTGGTGCGGGCTGTGCCTCGATGCTGGTGATCTAAAGGATTGGTGGTAGCAAATGCCTATCACACTCCTTTCTGGGCAGTCAGTGCAGTCATAGACCTCCCCTTTGCTGTAAATTTTTCATAGCTCCTGGGGGTTTTGCTCGAAACCCTGCTGCGACCGAATAGCCGCCGGAAAGATATCTCATTAGGGAGTCTTTGACCTCGCGTACTCTTAATTTGCATTCTTCACATGCTATAGTTCCCCAGCCCCACGCTTGGATCGAACAATCTGCGCCCTCACCTGCAACGGGGCAGAGTGTAGAGAAGATTACACAGACGATGCTCGCCATGGGGCTGTTGCGCGTGAAGGTCGGTCTGCCATAAACTGCACTGCACCTTGATGGGACTCCTGCCGCAAAGCTGCCACATCTCGACTGCACTACCAAACTAAACCTCCTAAATTTACTCTTTTAGTTTTTCTAGTTAAATTTTGTATACATAGTATTTTTTTTTACACCTATTGTCTGCAATCTTAAAATAGGTATGAATTATGTGGACGTTATGAAAATAAAGGTATCATAGCATATATTTCATCATCAAATGATCTACACAAAAAAAAATCCATGAATAATTCATTGTCTTGCCTGCGCTTTGTAGAAAATGCTTGAACACTGCCTTGGCCCTCAGTAGCCAGCCCACATACTAACTTCATTGAAGCCATACTACAAAAAAACATATTCGCTTTGCCAGAAGTAGGTAAAGATAAAAATAACAATGTCTATGTATTTCTTCCTCTGCATCAAATCTTACGGATATATTGCCGCGGGTTGGAGGCCTAATGCATCTCTGTCTTGCATCTATTTTGAAGCTCGGCGTACTACAGTATAGACCGACCTCAGCCTCTTGCTGCACTGTTCAAGCCCACAGTGTAGCACGATGATGCAAACAAGGCAGCAGCATTTTGTCTATATATTAGTCTGGAGTGACAGAATGCGGCACTGGTCCTTCTCTGGCCTCCGGGTAACGGTTTCCTCAAGGTCTCAACGAAAGCTGATGGGAATCCCGTGGCCCTCTCCAAAACACGAACTACTGTAGGTCCATATTACACATTTCCTTTTGTGTCTCTGCTGCCCACCGTAATGAGTCAGTTCCTGCGGCTTTTGACACAGAAATTGACAAAGTAGTTGCGGGCGGGCTTTGTACAACCTAAAACAACTAGACCTGCACAGGAGGCGCAATGCGGGCGCCTGCCCATGCCAGAACCCTCTACATATGAGCAAGACGGCGAGCTATAATACCGACACACAGGGGTTCGTAGACATGGACGAAGAAATGTGATCCCGAATCATACCAGTGCATTGAACTCCACGCAGTACTGCATGACCAAATGGGGCCACCCGGAAGACTTTAGTTTCACCTCTGCTAACCCAAACGGGGTCTGTCAAATCAGGAAAGCAACACCATCTCCCTGGCGGATCCAAAATGACGGTCAACATGGCGGGTACTGGTCCCTTATTTCGCCTTATGCCTGTCTCCAAACTGACAAAACCGATCATTCTAATTTTCCTTTCACCAAAATATGGCACCATGGTGAGCTCATAAGACTACTCTTAGCGAAATTTCAGCGCTGGCAACAGGTGACAGCTCAACTATATAACCACGTGTTGGGAGAAACCCAGCCTTTAACCCACCGTTTATGCTGCACCCCGAGACTTCCTAGATATGAAGGGCTTCAGAAGTGAGAAAGAGAGAGTATGGTTTTTACTGAAAAGGGCACGCCCGATTTGACTCCGCAGCATGCAGATGACGAGCGGCTGCTGAGTCCCACACAGTCTGCGAAAGCCCCACAGAGATACGAACGAACGGCAACTGCCTACGTTTTTCGTTTTTGAATTAATTAGAAGGGAATAGAAATTAAGAGAGGAGCCTACCGAGACTCTGGCTGTTTCTTTGGCCATGGATAACCCTCCTGTGTCCTCCGGGGGTTGCTTGCCTCGGAGTTACAACCCCCTCCTGACGCTGCGTGAAACGGAGCTGGCTGTACAGTGTCTGAAGAGCGAATTTATGAAACTGCTTTCAAAAAAACTTTCTCTTCTTCCCGTGGTTGCTCCTCGGTTCGTTGCGGGGCACTCTGGCCTGCAAGATTGTCTTGACGGTGTTATGCAGCCGGTAGCCTTCACTGCCGCGGCTTTGCCAGGCAGGCCCATTCAAGTTGTACACAGTTTGGCTAAGTGGAAGCGCAAAGCTCTTGAAACATACGATATACAGGCTCACGAGGGGGTCATTACCGACATGGTTGCCATAAGAAAAGATGAAGTCCTCGACCCGATCCACTCACTTCTGGTAGACCAGTGGGACTGGGAGCAGAAGTTAAACAAAGAAGATCGAAACACGGAATATCTAACAGCCACCGTCAAAAAGATCTACGAAGCCCTCCTGGAGATGGAGCAACTGCTGTGCCAGCGTTTCCCAAAGCTGACTCCGTGCCTTCCTCCCAGCATTACCTTTTTGCACTCGCAGGAGTTGGCGGACCGGTGGCCTGATCTCCCTCCTGCCCTTCGTGAGCAAAAAGCTGTCGAAGAGTACGGGGCCATTTTCGTCAGGGGCATTGGCGCTGCGCTTTCGGACGGCGCCCCGCATGGCGTCCGGGCGTGGGACTACGATGACTACACAACGGTGGCTACAGATGGGAGGCAAGGACTCAACGGCGATATTGTAGTGCTTGACCCAACGAGTGGCAAGGCTCTGGAGCTTAGCAGCATGGGAATTCGCGTTGATGCGGAGGCAATGCTCCGGCAAGCAAAAGCTGCCGGTGTTTCTAAGGACGCCTTGGAATCGCCGTTTCACCAGCAAGTTCTAGAGGGGGCATTGCCTCCTTGCATTGGAGGAGGCATCGGCCAATCAAGAGTTGCGATGCTGCTTCTGAGGAAGATGCATATTGGGGAGGTCCAGTGTTCTGTGTGGCCAGAACAAATGGTAGAGGAATACCGGCAGGCAGGAATAACACTTCTTTAACGTGAACCAACGGAACGCCAACGAAGCGTTTACTCTGGTATTGAATGCTTTTCCCAATGCAGTGAATGGCCGAGAACTGCAGCGAATTCCCACTTCCGACTAAAAATGCGGAAGGGTGTCACCGAGCACGGTCTCTCACAGGCCATCTTGGATACTGTACGGCGCAGTTGCTGAAAGCAGCCTAGAGGCCGCTTTCCTCTTTATCTGTTGTTGCTATACACTACTGGTGTACTGCGAAACCGAAAAAAAGGAGCCCCTCTTCCTTGTAGGGCTCCATATTGCAGCAGAAAAAATCCCACGTAGTAGCGACTCCTGCGCAGTTGCCGGGGGAATCTTGTGAAGTTGCAAGGGGAATCTCTCTGAAGCCTGCAGCCCACAAGTATGCCTTTTATAATTTTGTGTAATCCACTTTCATTAGACCTCCAACGCGACGCCTTCTGCTAAAGTGCCAAGGAAACACAAGGGTGGCGTTGCGGTCATTTGTGTGAGGCGGCCATCTGTATAGGCCCCAGCATTCTATCTTGCGTCGCAAGCAGAACCGCAGCATGCCTCAGTGGGGTGGTGCATGCAACTCTTCTGCTGTTGCACACTCGAGCATCATCTGCTCAACCACGAAGGTTGTTGCGCATTGCTTGCAACTCTCCACCAAACTTGAAGTGGAAATTATTTGAAATAGGCAGCTAGGCAAATCCAACTTTCGCCTGAGAAGATTTAGCTATGCAGCGCTGGCCTGTCTGGGGTTTGAGTTGTACTCTCCTATAGGGAAGAAAGCTAGAAAATTGCTCCCCGCTTGCATCCCTTGCGTTTACGAACTGCGCACTGTTTGCATGAGCAAGAGAGTAGGCAAACCGTATGTATATTAACTTCCCTGAGTTAGCAGACACAAACGTGCTGAGTCTCCCTTCACGAACACTCCAGACACAACAGGCTTGTAATTTGGTGTTACGTACAGGAGGAAATGAACTAACTAGGGACCGTTCTTCGTGTTGCGTGTGATACTTTTGTGAGTTGTTGCTATGCAGAAGACGTGGGACTCAACGGAGTGCAGCGTCTTCTTCAGGCTGTCGTTCTCCCGTGCAAAGCACTTCTATCTATTATTTACGGTGACTGTTCAGTCTCCACTAAACGGCTGATCCCATATACCTCAGTGCAGCCTCCTTAGACTCACCAGCAGGCTGCAGCCAGAAGCCCAGGACCCAGAGAGCCACCGTGCGCTATTGACTTCCAGCTAAATCTAATCACCATGCAGTGATTGGTTATAGAGTAAATGTTTTCTGTGGCTGCCGCAGGAAGCTGTTCAGGCGTCTGCCCTCATTGCAGGCACCGGCTAAGAGTATTCAGCCTCATTAGTTCTATGCACAAACATCACACCTTAATAAACCGTAGCAAAAAAAGCAAATGGTTAGCAGAAGTTCTATGATGCTAAAGAAATGATAAGCTGCAACTTAATGCTGCGGCAAAAGCAGCAGTTGCCACCGCACGCGACAGCAGCTGCTGGGCTTTACAGCAGAGCCTATTGAGCTGATAGGCTTTCTCTGAAGGCTCCCTGTAACGTTGGGTGGTGCTGTTGCTGAACTCCGTGCAACCGTACCCCCTGGCACGTCAGCATCTATCGCAGTAGAGGCTGCACAAGCAGATGCTTCCACTGCAACCCCCACTGCAAAAAGGCATCCTGAGTTCTAGCTTTAGCCTCTGTGACCTCTCTCCTGTGACCAGAAGAGGCTCCCAATCAAACCCTTCTCCTGAGTACCGCTGGTACACGGGCCCTCCTCCCAGTTCCATTGAGCACCCACCCTACGGTATAAAGTGAATGCTGGTATGGCCTTAGCTTATACTTCAATGTCAAATGCCATCACGTCTTCGAAGTGAGGTTTGTATTTCGCCACAAACTCTAAATGGAGAGGATGCTTAGCGTATGTCTCGAGGTCGGCCCGGTTGTTGAATTGGGAATGCAGCACGTGGGTGAACCCTTTAGTTCTTTCTTCAGTAAAAGAGGGGCGGAAAAAGAGGGTAAACTGAATAGTCTTTATGGAGCTCGTTAGCCCCTCTGCATCAGCAGCCATGCTCTGGTGCACTGACGCGGGAGTGTCGGGTTTGAACTTAAAGCAGACGATGTGCACCAGCCGGAGGCAGGGATTTATTGCAGCCATCTTCATGCAGCTAAACACTACGAAATAAAAGCAAAGACGAAGAAAACCCCAACACTCATTTGCAGAGCAGCCAGACAGCAACCTGCATGCAACCCCGTTTCGATCGATATGATTTTGGGTTCAGAGAACGCGTCGACTCAGGGGCTCCTACTGCCGAACTATAAGCTCCCGTTTCTTAACCCTTAAGGAACAATTAAATCTAACAAATACTGCAAGCATTAAAGATGGTGCCTATTGATTCAATAGTTTTGAGGAGCTTATCCTTGTCTGCGATGCTGCGCCAGCCAGGAGTGGAGTGTGACTGAGCCAGTTGTTGTTTTTATTCCTACGAACCATATTAATATATATATTGCAGATACACCGTAATATATACATATGAAAGGCTTCTAGACAGCATAGCGCACAAGGAATACGGATATTCAGCCTGACGGCCTGGGAAGACAGTGCACGTCTGTGTAAAGTGATTCACAGAAGCTGGTGTGGGTATTTCGAGTCACGTGCGGGGTGAATACTGAAGGAAAAGTATGTGTTTAACATCTGTCAACGGTGTTAGTGCATGCAGAATGCGGGACTTGCTTATGCTTGTACGCGGCCCTGCCCTGCAGCTGGAGTTGAGACAAAGAAAGCTGTTACTCGTGACAAACCGCCCCCTTTCTGAATGCACTAACTCCGTAGACAGATGCGAAACACATATTTGCCCTTCAGTATTCACCATCCCTCTCCCCTTGGAATGCAAGGCCCAGGACGCATGAAGACTGGGCAGTAGATCAACATTCCTTTAGAAGCCCCTGTTTGAAATAATCTGGCTCTTTGCGCCACAGGACGGTCCTCGTTCAAGGGCAGAGGCTCGCACTAGACTTGGCAGAACCTCATGACCCGATAGGGGGAGGTGCGACCTGGGGGCCAAACGCATGCAACTGGGCTGTTTGGTGCATACCACCGATTAGCTCTGAAGACGCTTCACGACAGAAAAATCTTAAGCATTCTCCATGAATCGGCTTTACAAATTTATCCCCTTTCTCGAAAATTGCAAATTGATCAGGATCTGCTCTCAGCGAGCAAGAGGGGGGCAAGGCCGAAGGCTGAACGCCTGGTGGCATTGGAACGAGCGCATTATCCACAGCCCGTCAAATCGGAAATGTCTTTCCCCCGAAAGTTCCGGCCGTCCAAATGGGGCGCATTGCACTTCTAGTGTAGGAATTTCGTGATCCTTCTCATCTATTAATGCATTTATTTTTCCTGTCGATCAATCGTATTAATGGCCTGAAATTGGTGGCAGATTTGGCATTGGTTACGAAGCGGATTCATTATCTGGAACTTTGGCCAGGAAGTGGAATCTAACTCGTTATACACTAGTGAATTTTGGGCGAGCAGCCTTCGCTTGTCGGAGAAAGAACAGGAAAATCAGTTTAACTATGGGCTTAAAACGTGGGCTCAAGTCAAAAATGCGTCGTCCTGCCACGAAATAGAACTTCTCCTTTGGACCAGCTCATCATGCCAAAACCTTCCCCTTGCTGCGAGTGGCTCAGTGGACGGCAGGATAGCGGCCTCCAGAAAAGATATTGAGGTCTATCTGCCCAAGAAATAACCAGATAGTGCACCTCTACGCTCTCTCAACAGGGCCTGCATCCTCCTAGGGAAAGGATGGGTCTCCGCAGGAAAAAGTAGTGGAAACCCAGTAGGGGACTCTGCCAAAAACGACAGGGAAATGCAGGTTCCCCATCGTGGTTTCACGAAGGGCGTCAGTTTGGGGCGCTTGATCCAGTTGCTAGTCGAGGAAAAGCCGAACTGGGCGCCATTTGAGGAAGAGGTGCCAAATTTAATTAATAACAAGGGCCTTCTAGCGGACCAGTCACTCACTGGACGTTCGATGTGTCGTATCGAAAACAGTCGCCCGAAAGCCTCTAGCTTACTTGCAAGCACGATACCCCTACTATGCCATTTTTCTTCTTTTTCAAGAGGAAAAATGGCAAGCAGATGAACTGCTCAAAAAAGGCAAAACGAAAGTGCAATCTAGCTTGCGCTCAACAGAGTCTGGTGATGATGAAGAAAAATTACCGGAGTTGAAGCTTCTGGGTTGCCTTCATGCCGATAAGCAAGATGACGGGGAAGTAAAAGGTTTCTCATGACGCGATTCGAATAGCTCCTTGACCGCTTGCAGCGTTCTGCATTATCTCCACTATTTGACTTTGGTGATCCACTCGCAGCCCCCAGCATATCCAGAAGATAGCGAGTATATCTGGTAAATTATTGGGCTCTCGAATGCACTGGCCATATCGGCTTCCGCGGAGGCAAGCCCCTGAGGGCCCACATAGAATTTTAAAGAATGCTCTACAATGTTAGGGCATGCCGGAGAAGAGGACAGACTGTGCGCTAATCTGGTATCGCCCAGCAGCACCAGTTGCAGCAAGGCGCGTTGCAGTTCATGACGGGCCGCCCCGTTCTCGCACATTTAGCAGCCCTTCGCATTGAGCTGCCCAGGAGATAATAGGACTGCAAAGAATGTCATAGGCTTGTGGTGAAATCTTATGTTAGCATTTTCCTCCACCGCATCTCTCCACTGCAGCTCTCGAATATACTTGGTTACTATCGAAGAGTCTAGTTGTCTTCGTTACGTGCAGCGATTCACGTTGCAGTTCTTGCGGGGATGCAGCCCCACATAGAAAGATTCCCAAACGGCATTTTTATGCGCTCATTAACTCCATAGGCACTCCATGTGCAGTATTCAATGCTTGTCGCGTGCAACCAATGCGATGCTCGCTCCCGCACATTCTATGGGACTTTCCCCATACGATGCTACAGGCATGATGTTCCCCTTAGTTCCAGCGATAAAACGGAAAATACAGCTGTTAAAATACAAAAAAGCGATTATATACATCGCAATGAAGCTCGGAGCGCGCATGCGATGCGCGGTAGCCCCAAAGCCCCGTTGGCGAGTATGTGGGGTGGGTGCAGAGGTGGCATAGGCCATGGCTGTGGCCTTCGTCTGTCTTAAAGGAAGCAGCAGAAAAAGCTCAGGAAATTGCCGGCGCTGTCCTATTATTTTGGAGGATTTATTTTAATAAACAGTGAGGCCTTTGTGGTTCCTAGAAAGCAGTTGCAGCCGTTGCACGAATTTCCCTTCTTTTCCCCTGTACTGTCCTCCTCTGCTGCCCGCCGCGTTTCTTCCAGCGTTAGCGCGTTTTTAACTTTCTCGGCATTTTCTCTTCCTTTGTGTTATATTTAATGTATATTATTCTATGCAAGTTTATGCAATTCGCGGTCCAGAGAGCGGAGACCTTTGTCGGAGGCATCTTCCGCTGCTCTCTTTCCTCTGCTGCTCTTTTCTGTTCGTAGTTTGAATTCTGTGGCGTTGTGGGGGTAATCGATCAATGAAATATTTTGTGGTGTATGCACACGCTGAATTTTTCTCTCGCTCTCTTCGTCGCCGCCCCTTCCATCTCTATGCTTGCCTTGTTTCTGCATGCACTGGCTTCCTGCTGTTGCTTTATGTTTTTCTTTATTTTCAAAGTTCGCTGTAAACTACACAGCAATATACCCAATTTTTTTTGGATGCATGCAATGATTGCGCAGGCTGCGAGGATGGCGGCCGTACAAACCACCATTAAGACTGAGCTCTGCTCCTTCAGCGAATACCGTATATACCCGGGGCGGGGGCAGAAGTTCGTCGCACGCGATGGAAAGGTGCACACGTACATACACTCCAAGGAGGCGCGCCTCGGCAGACAGAAGCTGAAGGCGGCGAAGCTGCGCTGGACTTTGGTACGTTGGCATGCTCAACCGTTGCTGCTGCTGTCGCAGTTGCTGGTGCTGTTGGCGCCTGCATTACTACTGCGGCTTGCGTGGGGAGCAGGGGCGCTCTTGCATGCTGCCTTCTTGCAATTAAGGTATCCAGCTAGTTAGCTGACTAGCTCTGAAGAGGTAGATTGTCTCTTCTCTTTCGTACTTGCGGCCAGAGTCACCGCGCCTGATGTTTGGTGAGGGCTCGGTGCTAAGGTCCGCGTACACTGAAGCAGCTGCAGCCTCAGTATGGTTTGTTTCTTCTGAAAGGAACGCCAATAGGGGCGGGGCCGAACAGTTCTGTTGTATTTCTTTCCTGCTCCGGGGTGTTTAGGGTCTAAGGTTGTTTAGGGTTTAGGGTTTTAGGATTTAGGGTTAGGGGTTTGCTGCATCTGGGGTTTAGGTCTGGCGTCGCGCCAACAAGAAGAGCAGAGGAGAGTCCATTGCGAAGCGCAGAACGCGAAAGGGGGCGAAAGTGCAGAAGGCGATTGTAGGGATTTCTTTGGAAGAAATTAAGCAAAGAAGAGCAACAAAGCCGGACGCCTCGAAGGTACAAACAAGCATTCTTTTGTATTAGAATTTGAAAAGGCCAAATATAAAGATCCGTGCATACAATTATCTGTGCACTAGAGGACGTTTGTATCTATAATATGCATTATAATATGCATTATATATATAATATACACGCGTTTATGTTCATCTGTACACATGTAGATACGTAAATGGAGAGAGAGAGGTTAGTCGCGTTTCCCTTGTTTTGCATCTGCAGATGAGGAAGATGCCTGCTGCTAAGGAGAAGAAGGAACGGAAGGAGAAGCCAAAGACGACAGTCATTCCAGGGGCTCGCGCTGCCCCTGCCAAGATGGTCCCGCGCCAGAAGATGGCGGCATCTCGTCTGATGTAGACAAACGGAAATAATAAAAGTATAACATATATATAGTCATACGAACAATGCAATCATCAGACGACGCATGAACTGAGTCGGGAGGTTTTGTAGTGTATTTACAGCATGCAGACAGTGCGGGGTTCAGTAAGGCAAACAAACGCTGCATTGTTTGCAACAGTTTATTACTATTCTCGTTGCTAAGACGCTTCGCCGCTTGGCTGCTTGAATATAGACACCCACTTAAGAGGAGACGCTTCGAGGTTTCGGGGACGCAGCAGATGAGACAGCCGCAGAGAAAACGGAAAAGGCAAGCCAACGAAACTGCGAACTTTCGGTCTTTAAGTCGGTCGTTGGTTTTGCTGCTCTGCGCGTCATAGAACAATAGCACAATAGGAAGTCCCTCTCTCTGAAGAGGGTGGCTGTACGTACAGCAACGGAGGGCGAGTCGAGCTATGCTGTTGCCACTCCATTTATTGCCTGATTCTGTTAGAGCTGCTGCAGAGGCGGGAGGCCTTGATTGCTCCGTATTAGCGCAGCATACAATAGCTGGGGATGCAAGGGCATCGAATGGCGATTGTTAGGTGAGGGTTGTAACGGGCGGTACTAGCGGTTGACGGTTTATATTTAACTGCTGCTTTCGCTTTAGTAGGGAGTGGAGGGCAGTGTGTTGCTAGGCGAAGGAATATGTAATACTGCATTGCAAGCAACAGCACCAGCAACGCTTTGTCTGTTAAGGAGCAACATGTATGGCTGATGCCTTACGACGAACGAAATAGTGCCACACAACCTTCTAAAAAATAACAAAACAGCATTTTTAAAATGCGATTCAGCTTCTGGTGCCTTCGTACAGTTAGACAGAATGCTGCATACATCGATGGTATGGGCTGGGCCCCCTTCCGGGTATATCAAAGGCTCTCGGAGCGATCGAACTGCGATTCCTAGACAATGTTTTCATGCTTGACTTGTGTATTTAGAGTTAATTGAGACATATTCTTTGAAAGCGGGTTTCTGCAAAGAGAAGGCCCATGGCCGTTGCAATACGTTCTCGCGCCGCCCTGGCATCCCTAGGGTGTATCCGCCCACCGGTAATATGCAGTTCAGCTTTCCACAGCGTTAATATCCTTTCAAATTCTCTGCATTTAAATCATTTTAGCCTTCGATTTATCACTACTTGTGGTCTTTTACCCCCTGTTGTTGCTGCGAATGCGGCCGTCAACCCCCCGAAACCTTCATCCGTCTCCTTGAAAAACAGAAATCAGCAAATTCGAAATGCGCACAAGTTCGCAGCCCCCGACTGCCCGAATCTTTTGAAACTGCGGGAGGCCGTGGAGCGAAACTTTCAGCCAATTTGCTTCTTCGTTAAGAACGACTACGCTATGGGCCACCATGTGTACGACCAGCATTTCTACGTAGGCGAGGCAGGCAGCAAGGCACAGAAATAACTGCAACAACACTCAGTTATTAAAATACGCTTCAACAGTTAAGTAGAGGAGGAACAAACACGAAGCATGCATTGCAAAAAACCCTACTAAGCCCTGTTCAACATCTACAGCAGCAAGATATTCCCTTTAAGCAGTACACGAAGGAATACAACCCTCACTCATGCCGCGTGTTTGTTTTCGTTGAGCTAGTCGAATAGTTCTTGAAGAGAATCTGTACAACGTCTAGCAAAGGCTTATTAATAAACCTTAAGGCTTAAGACAGAGAAAATAGAAAAGTACACATTTTTAAAATTGTGTGTTTTCGTATGTGCCAGTGTGCAGGCGCGAATAAATATAATTATGAAAACGCCATTTAATATATATATATGTATATATGTGTATACAGTTTATGTATTTTGCTTTATGTTATTATTTTATATTGTATTATTTTGTATAATATATTATTATGCTATATCATGTATTATATTGCATTTATCATGTATATTTTTCTACAAGATGTTGAGTTTTTGTCTACAGGGTATATTGTGCTCTCCGTTGTTTGAGGGGAAGACTTACGGCCAGATGAACGCCATGGTTAATCGCGTATTGGAGCCTTTAGGTGATTCGTTTGTCTGTTTATCTTTGATTGAACTCCTTAATAATAATCTTTGCGAACTCATAACTGTTCACTCATGGAGTTTATGAATTCTTAATCGTATAATAATGTGTTGTCAGACTGCGAGGTGTACAGTAATGCGGTCTAGGAGCTCTTAGCTGTTTAATAGTAGAGTTTATTGACAACTAGGTACTTGATAACGGGCTTAATAGAGTACATAAGCTCTACGACGTATAATAAAAGGGCTTATGTAGACTGCTAATTGTGTAATGATGGCGTTTATGAACTGTCGTCTGCTTAATGGTGGGATGTATGGACTGCTTATTGCGTAGTAAGAGGGTTTTGTCTTTCTCCGTATGCTTATTTCTTTTGTTTTTGTTTGTTTTCTTTTGCTGGCATTCATTTAGGGCTGAAGGGTCGCGTGAAACTCCACTGCCAGCCGCCTTCTCGATTTGAGGTTAGTGGCATACCCAAACGCTAAACCCTAAATCCTCATGAACTGAAACGCCTGCACTTTAAAGAGGGAAGGGGAGGGCGTTGGTATTTCTTTATAATAATAGAGAAAAACCAGCGACAGCCTTCAGCTGTATGCATCTCTTTCGGGCGGCGAATCTGCCTCTCTTTGTAATTGCATTGCTTCTGTTTTTTTATTGTATACCTAAATAGTTGTCGATTTGTATTATTTGGTCTCCTAACCAAAACTCACGTGAATCGGCGTTCATCTATTTGTGCTTCTGCACTTTAATTGACAAGGTGTTGTATACTTATCTACTTGTATTTTGCTCTTTTCTATTTGTATATTTATGTCGACACCTATATGCATGTGCACTTGCGCGTCCTGCGTTCTAATAGGAATGATTCCGAGTAATTAATTAGTTAATCAGTCAATCTATTTGCAATTGTCTTTCTTCTATTTTCTGTCTACAGAAAATGAGAAATCGGCTTCGCTGGCGCTGGCAATTGGAGAAGTAGGAACAGCCAAAGGAAAAAAAAACAAAACCAAGAAAGCAGTAGTTGAAGCAAGCGAAAACAAAGGAGGACAACCCGAAAGAAATAACGATAATTAAAAGCCGAAGCAAACACAGACAAACAGAGAACAACAAACGAAAACAACAAGCAAGAGCACGCGAAGAAAAACACGAAGAAAATAACACACAACCGAAGCCACCAGGCCAACAAGAGGGAATTCATTAACGCATGCTAATAAATACCTATATATAAGTACAAATCATATATCTGTACATATGCATATATATATATATATATATGTGTATATGTATATACCGAAATATATGATTTTATGTATGTGTTTATACGTATCGTCGAGGTGCTGCCTCACTGGGTTTGAGCCCCAAACCAGTAAAATGAATGGATGAATAGATATATAATAAATAAATATATATATATATATATATATGTATATATTTATTCACCTTTACCTGTTTTGTTTTTCTGCAGATTTTTAATTTTTTTGTCTTTGAATTGATTTATGCCATTGATAATAAAGACAAAATACCTCTCCAACACTTTTTGCTAACTTCTTTTTTCTCAAATCGCAACATGCGGCCCTGGGCTACCTTTTACTCGCTTTCAGTACTGAGGAATTCCACTCGCAGTTTACTGTCATATTCGTACTAGTCGCTAGAAAAAAATTCGAAAGAGCTGAAATCAATATGCATACATTCAAATATATATGCATATATACATGCATACATCATATATATATACATATGCACGAATATGTAGGTATATATATATATAGTCCAGGGCAGCGTTCATCTATATATATATATATATTTATATAGTGCAGAGCAGCATTCCTTCGAAGATGTAGATTCTTTCGCGCCCCCTTTTATCTGTTTATCTGACAGCTTCTGAAGCGCATTCAGTTTTGTACAATTCAGAGGATAATTCGTCTCTGCATTTGTTTGAATGCTGAAGTGATTTAATGCGTATAAACAGCACTCCCCGCACTACTGATCTGGTATCCACGAACTGCTGTGAAGAAGAATAAATACAGTCAGCGTAATTAATACTCAAAAGGCCGAAATTAAGTCTAAAAAACGTCAAATTATAATTAAAACGATGAAATGCGTAAGATAAATTCGTAAAGGGGTGCGTTGTTTGAATTTATGTGGAAATTTCTGAGTTTGTTTGAATCCTCTAGACTGAATTTCCTAACCAGTGCTGGGTACAAGGAGGAGGTTTTTAGAGTTTGTTTGAGTCATTTTGATCGAATTTCTTAAGCGTTTTCGGGTCTATGAAGAATTTTTGCGCCTTTTCCTTTAATTCATTTCGTCTTTCTATCGTTTCCTGTCGCGTCTTATGCCACTCTGCAATGTCGACGCCTTTAGGGAAAGCACGAACTCCTTGCTGAGGAATGCCGGTGCCTGCGGCGCAAAACGCGGCTATTAGCCGCTTTAAATTATTTTAAATAGCTAAATAGCGTAAACAAACAAATAAATAACTTAACATGGGATTCATTCATTAACAAATTTTAGACCAACTGCACAGCGAAGCGCACAGAACACAGACACAAAAAGGGAAGAAAGAAAAAACAAGTATGTGCCTACCTTCTGGCTGTACAGTGATTTCTGCAGGAGTATCGTCAACGTAATATTCAACATTTGCGTTTTTTAATATAAACTCGTAAACCGCAGCAGCCTGAGCCTTCTTGTAGAGCTGCTTCGAAACCATCTCTGGCGCTTCCTCGTTTGTCTGAATTCAGAGAATAAAAAGGCATTTCAATCGTTTTATTTAAAACAAAATATTGCAGAAAAAAACAAAAACGACGCTAAAAAAGATGCAGGCCCATTACAGACAGTGACAATCGCCTAATCGAGGTTCTTGCAAGTGCCACTGCGACGCATCAATAATGAATAATAGTAGATATTATGAAAATATTGTTATTAATTAATTTAAACAATGGATGGCTACAGGGCCCGATGAAGTGAATCAACAAGCCTTAAGCTTCCTTTTGTTTGCTTTTGGTTTATACCTGCAGCATCGCCTTCGCCAGATCTCGTTGGAGTTTTATTTCGTCTACTTTCAAATTTTCTTTCTGGAAAACTGCCTGAGGGGGAGGGAAATGGCATAAACAATGAGATGCATTTATTGCGATTTAACGGGTTTATACACTTAAAACACAACTGTTTCCCCATGAACAAACTGCAAGCGAAGGCAGGATGAGGCTTCAGAAGCGTTTAATAAAATAAATATACGAAACAGGTATTTGTTTGTTTTATTTGTCACTAATTAAACACAATAAACGAGCAGAAATAAAAATGCATGCAAACAGCAATGCGCGACAACAAGTAGACTAATCCATCAACAAACCTGAATAGCGAAAGCCGTCCTCAGAATATTTTCAATTCCTTTCCTATTTTCTTCTTTCCACTTAATAAATTCTTCTTTATTCCTGGTCTTTTTATCCTTTTCTCCCTGAAATTCCCTCGCCCTCACCTGCTGCCGCCATGTAGCTTCCGCTTGCGTCTCGAATAGAGATTCTACAAACAAACAGCAGAAGAAATGCAAAAAAATAAAGACAATAGAGCTCAAACTAGAGCGGGGGTTCTCCTTCCACTGAAACGTTTCCACTGAATTATTCTCGAAAAACTAAAAAAGAATCCTGCATGCGGAGTATTCAAAACAAAGAAATTGATTGAAATGTTAATATTCTTCTTGTGCCGTTTCAGCTGCCACTCCGTCGAAACACAAAAAAAGGAAAGACAAATTACAAGAAAAAGATATAATATATATATATATATATTATACGCTGTATTGGTATATTATAATGTACACAGAAGCCGCGGCATATACAAACAAACGTCTTCAACAGCATCCAGAAGCTACTGCCACGTAGGCCACGTAAATAAATAAATGAAACCTTTAAATATAAAAACCATTTTAAAAGAGGAGAAAAAACAAAGCCCCTCAAATAGACAGACTAGTGGAACCCATCAGAGAAAAATAAATAAATGAATAAAACCCTCAAACAAATATACAAGTGAGTCAAGTCTGCAACAGAAAATAATAATAAAAAAGCCCTCTGGCCTAAATCAATAAACCCTAATAATGATAATAATAATGATAACAATGATAATGATAATTAAAAAAAATAATAATAGCAATAATAATAATAGCAATAATAATAATGATAAAGGCATAAGCACCAATCGTAAGCAATCAAACCCCTTATACAAGTGCAAAAAACATCAATAAAAACCCTCGCAACTCTCACCCGGAATTTCCACTTGTGTAATTTCATCTAACGCCTGAGCCGCAGCCCCTAATGCATGTTTTGATGCTGAGTTTTCTGCTATTTCTTCTTCAGCTGCCTCGACAGCCTTAAGGAGTTCTTCTCGCGTCATTTGGCACTTCGACTTGAAAAATGCATCTGGAAAATAAAAAAAGAACTAACATGTTTAAAATCCGACACCCCACTCGCTATTCTTCACATGATAATATATGTATACTCATATGCATATATATATGTATATGTACATGCATATATATATATATATATATATACTTATGTATACTTGTAGATTTATATATATTCATGAACATATGTACATCCATTTCATATATATATATATATATATATATATAGCTATATACATATATATATGTGCATATCTAAGTTAGTACACAACTACATACAGATAGCTAAACAAAGATAAATATACTTTAAACGCTGCATGCAAACAAAACAACAGAAGAAAGAACGACAGCACCACAGGTGCAGGAAGAAAAAAAAAGACAGCAGAAAAATCCCAAAGCCATAAAATAAACAACTATAAAAATATGCAACGAATAAAGCTAAACAAACAAATTAAAACAGAATAAAAATGAAGCAAACAAAACAAAACAAACAAAAATAAGAAAAATTGAAGCGTGCACCCAACCCCCTCTTCTTCCTTCTCTATCACTACACCGTTTATATATATCCGTTTATATATATCGAGAGATATAATAATTAATTATTTTAAATAATTAGAAAAGAAACGGTATTAGCAATTTAATAAAAGCATCAAATGCAAATTATTTTTAAAAATAATAAATATATGTGCTCAAATTGCTACTATAAACACAAATAATATTTAACATAATCAAGACAAATCCATTCATAGAAACAAAACATCAAAACTTAAATAAAGATTATTTTGTTCAAATGAGAGAAGCATATTAAATATAACAAAAATAAAACTATTTTAATTAAAATGCATGTAAAAGAGTTTCAAATAAAATAAAAGTACTTGCACTCAAGAAAAGATATAAATATTTTCACAGGAAAATGCATTTAGTTAAAACAAAAGTATTGCAATAAAAACAAATATACAGTTAATTTTAATCGGGATAATAATAATAATAATAACAACAATAATTTAAAAAGAATAAAGACATAGATACTTTTCTTTACTTAGAAGCATATATATATATATATATATATATATATAT